CTTTGCGAATCCGACCGGGTCAAACCACATACCCGGCCGGACAAAAAAATAAAATAAAATAGTCAAAATTAACTAATACCCGACCGGGTACTTTATTTCACCCGGCCGGGTATTCATTCCAGTAGCTACTGGATAAGCAGGACCCGAAGACCCGACCGGGTCTATTAATCCACCCGACCGGGTGAACGGTAAATAGGCTTATACCAGGTCGGGTTTCCCTCTTCCCCTTCCATTTCTCCTTCTTCTTCATACGAACCAACCACCAAAATCCCCCATTTTTACACTCCAAAAGCTTCGAATCTATCCCATTTCTCCACCAAATCCATCAAATAACACCACTTTCTTCATCTCCTCTTCACCCTCTTCCACTCTATACCCATCAATCTCCCCCAAAACAACCAAATCAACCAAACCCATAAACCCTACCTCAAGGTCCGAAAATCCCCATTTTTGAGCATTCAAGGTCCAAAATCAAGCCCAAAATCCCCAACCAATATCATATCCTTGTTCTCCTCACCATTCTCTTCCAAACCATACCCATAAAAACTCTCCAAAACTCACCCTAGCCAAAAGTCCGAAAATTACTCAAGAAAAAACCAAAAAAAAATCAAGTTCAATGGCTCCAAGAAAATCCAAAGGCTCTTCCTCAAGGGGTAACCGAGCTATATCACCGGTGCCGGGCTACGAGAACGTGGATTTGGCTACGGAGGGTCAAAGGGAAAGCTTCATCAACCAAACAAAGAGGGAGGTAAAACAATCCCGTTTCATGTGCTTAACTACCCTAGCATTACTGTGGATTGATGTTGTGATGCGTGACATATTTGCGAGAATTGGAATGACTAGAATATTTGGAATGCAATATGTTACATATCCTCATTTGGTGTATGAATTTTTTAGCTCGTTTGCGTATACGAAAGATGTGGATGATCATGCAAATGACATCATCACCTTTCGTTTACTAAATGAAAATCGTTCATTAACCAAAAGGGAATTTGCTCAACACTTTGGCCTCCCATTGTTTGATGAAGCACGTACATATGATTCTCTTGTGGGATATGAGTTGTGGAAGAGAATGACAGGAAAACCTGTGGTTGATCTTTCTAAGCTGAGCGTGAACCGTGTGCAGCATCCGGTCTTCCGACTATTCTTAAAATTTTGCTCAAATTGTTTTCTCGGAAGACCAAATAACCATCACACACGGATTTGGGATGTGTGCGTTCTAGCACAAGCTGTTTTGCCTGGCCCAGATCAAGTTGATGTTGCCACCATCTTATGGACCCATTTCTACAACGTGGCAACATCAACGGGACCAATTGTGATGGGGGGCCTAGTCACACATCTAGCCACTTTATATGGTTTTGTAGACCCCGGCCCCATCACATCAAGACAGCTTATTTGCACAGAATGGCTTTTACAAAAGACACTAGACTTGGTCCCCTCTCACACGACACCAACCGGGGCACACATCTACAATTGGCGCATTCTCCCACGCACTTCCATCTACCTCCAAATACCCTCGGCCGACGTTCCCCTAAATATCCTCGATCACCAAATCGGGGATGGTCATCACTACTGTCTTCCCGGGGCAATTCCAGATCATTATGAAGAACCTGTCCAAAATGAAGACGATGAAGAACCCCCACTCATACCCGAAGAACCCCCAATCATGCCTGAACAACCGCAACCTCAAGCATTTCACTACACACCTTTCGAGCAACAAATGCTCGATAACATGTCCATGCTCAACAACAACTACACCCGACTTCGGGATGAAGTTGGACTATATCGTACTGAGCACAGACAGAGCTTTGAGCGAATGGAGGAGCAGCGGCAGGCAGACTGGCGCAGATATGAGGAAGACCGAAGGAGAGACGAGGAAGACTTACGGAGGACCTATGGTCCTATTTATTCCTATGTAGCACATCAGGGTAGATTTGCATCTATGACCACTCCTCCTCCCGCACCCTCTTGGTATGATCCCACTGCATGGGGTTATTTTGGAGGTTCGAGTTCCGGTGGTGGAGGCGATGATGGTGGTTACGGCGGTGATCACATGGATGAGGACAGACACCAGGGTGCAGGCGGTATGGGCGGGCACTAGGGACAGTGCAATGACTCAGCTGGGGGGGAGACTGTTCTGGTAAGCTTACATTCACACTCCCTATTTTCTTTAAAAAAAAAAAAAAAAAAAAAAAAAAAAAGCTTGTTAAGTTGAAAACCCACAAAGGGCAACTTAAGCAAAAATAAGCAAAAATAAGAGTGAGTTTGTGAGAATTAAAACAGAAAAATGTGGGAAGCTGGGATGAAAACCCGAAAGGGCACCTAGGCAAAAATGAGAGAATGAGAGAAATTATTTCTTTTGACTTTCCAGGATCCTAAGGGTGATGATGAAAGGGAGTTCGTTGGTGAGAAAACCGATTTCGAAGACCTCTTGATGTTGGGGATATTTTTTGTAATCATTCTGCTTCTAGATACACTTTATGGTGGTTGTTTTGATACTGTTGTTTTGAAGACTTCATGGACATGATTTATTTTACTCGAGACGAGTAAAAGTTCAAGTGTGGGGGTATTTGATATGCACTAGTTAGTAGTGCATAAATGTGTATTTTTATATCTTGTTTTGTGTGGATTGTTTACCATTTGTGTGTAGTTGTAAACATTTGTTTACTTTTTATTTGTAAGTGTTTTTAGCTTTTATTTGTGGGTTAGGAAGTTTTGGTAGAATTGTTGGCAAGGAAAAGGAAGAAAAACAAGGAGAATGCTACCCAGAAGAATAAACCCGATCGGGTAGAAACCTTCACCCGGTCGGGTTTGAAATTTGAATTAACATTTGCAGTCTCCAGGAAATTGCTTGGCCCGGTCGGGCCCTATACCTCACCCGGTCGGGTGAGACTTGACCGAAGACAACCCGGCGTGCTGAAGAACATTAGAACATGGAAAATATTTGATTCGGACCAGTACCCGGTCGGGTAGATACTCTACCCGGTCGGGTACTCGGCCAAAGGTGTTGAAAAACACCTATAAATAGCACACTTTTCCTTCATTAAAGAAAAACCAATTCCTTTATACTTCTAAGCTCAGTTTAGACAAGTTCTTTCTTTATATTTTATCATGTTTAGTCTCCAAATGAGGAGCTAAACTTCCATTTCTTGGTGTTGCTCTTGAAGCTTGTTGATTATTAAAGTTGTGAGTTATTTTCTTAACTTCTTTCCTTGAATATTAATGCTTCTCTTAAATACTATTTCTATATCAATGTTGGGGAGTGTTGCTAAGATGACAATTACTTAACATCTTGACATTGGTCTTAGTAATAGCTATTCCTTCCTCTATGTTAATATTGGGGAGTGTTACTAAGATGACAATTAGTTAACATCTTGATATTAACTATAGTAGGATTCATTTTCCTTAATATTCTTCCTTGAGTATTAATTAATTCCTATTCATATTTCATATTAATATTTTTGAACATTACTTAAAGGATCAACTAGTTTTGTTTCAAATATTAATTATTACTAGAAACGATCAACGAACCGATGGTTAATCGTTGATGGTTTCACAAGTAAGTAACTTCGGTTTATTAATGCACGGTCGTGGTTAGTAAACTTAAGAGGGATTAATTTTGTTGGTTAAACCAAAACCGTTGTGTTGAGGTTATCAATCTCAATTGATTTCATCAAGGAGTTAAGAGATTAAATGCTACTATCAAGTAGGTATATGGCGTTGTTCTATACTTGACTAATAGTAAGGGTTATTAATGAATGGTCGTTGTTAATAACTTTCCTCGATGAATTGGATATACTCCTCGATTGAGTATTCGAGAGGAGATAAGTTATAGATATAACAATGATCGACTGAAATATATCAACAAGTGGAAAGTAGCAATGCCAGGTCCTTTTTATCTTTGAATTAAATCACAATATAACTCGTTCATCTTCGTGTTTAATTTAATTAAATCACTCAACAAACAAAACCCCCCTCTATTTACTCCTTTCGTTAAAAAGATAAATTATTCCTTTCCCTGTGGATACGAACTCTACTACGCTATACTACGTATTAGTGCTAGTATTGAAATTTATTTTGAGTGCATTCACGACAAAGTGCACGTCAATTACCGAATTGGTCTAAAAAAACTGTCTATTACCGAATAGTTGCAACATTTCAACCATGGGCCTCCATAACAGCTACGTAGTATTAAACGAACAGAGAAATTAATAAATCGGTGTGACGGTTCCGCATATTAAACATGTTTAAATACCCAGCACAATACAATTCACTACCTTATCGTCGCTATTGCTTTCATACTGTCGTTTTTTCAGTCTGCCGTTAGAAGAAAAAAAGCCTTATGAAATTAGCATGCCCTGGTAAAATAAAAAAAAGAGCACTGTTTAGGATTTTATTTAATGTAAAACTTTCTAGCAGTCAAACAGTTACTATGCACGTGTTGCTGCTCCCCGCTCACCGAAAGGATAAAAGTTAGTGATAAAAATCAGGTTTTTCAAAAAGTATACTTACATTTGTTTTGAAAAGTTTTTATTATTTATTATTATTTATGTTTCTATATCATCAAGTTTGGTCTTTTTGTATAAAAGAATTTGGTGAGTGTTTTTTTAAGTTGGCCCGTGCATCAACTATAACTACTTCCTCTTTAATTAATAGTCTCCTCGGGATTTTTTTAGATTTGTTAAAAGAAAAAGTAGGGTAGTAAAGAGGGTGTAGAGTAACTGAAAAATACAAAAGATTTTATATTAAGAAGAGTGAAATAATGAAAAGGTAGGAAAGAGAAATTATAAAAAGTGTATAAAAGTATTTTGATTGAAAATACTTACTAAAAATGGAAATAGGGACAAATACGGAATAATAAAAAACATTCCAAAAAGGAATATATGACAATTAATAAAGAACGAACCGAGTACCACATGTCGAGTACTATTTCAAGTGCTATTTCTACACATAGTGTGTTTTCACAGTAACACATACAGAGTCTCCAACACACATGATCATCAGGTCTCTTTTCTTAATAATCACTTGCATTCAAAATAAACATATCTTCATCATGACTTTTAAATACTTATACGGAGTATAATATATACAAATACTATTGTCTATGCATCGCACGAGTACAATACTAGTTTAGGATTAAGGATGTTTTTACTTGGACTGTAATTTGTCCCAGACCAGACCAGACCAGACCAGTCCAGACCAGACCAGACCAGTTCAGACCAGACCAGACCAGACCAGACTTGGATAGTTATAAAAATACAAAGAAACCAGACCTTACCAGACCAGACCAGACCAGCAAATTACAGTCCAAGTAAAAACATCCTAAGAACAAAAGCAGTCCTATGTCAGCTTATTCAGTCTTCATTAGTCTCATGTATGACCATTTTCTCTTTAATTAATTAGTCATTATTATTGATAACATGAGTTATTTCATGCAACTAAATCTCTTTTGCAACTTTCCATTTTGGTGTTACTTTCCTCATTCTTGTTTGAATGTCTTTCATAGTAGTTTTCTTAAAAGCCCATGGGAGTCCAATTTTTGACCAACACAGTCATCTTCGATTCATCTACCATGCTCTTCACTTCGTCCACCACCCTCGTGGTTGTAGACCACAAGGTCGGGTTCGCCCCAGATTTACCAATCCCGCGGAAGATTTCAACGATTTCCCCGTCACTGACCGTGTCCCCCTTGACGATTCCCCTCTGTCGGAGCATGGCCACGTCTTGCGCTGTCTGCAATAAGTCAATCATCAGGTCAACATATCTACCCAAAGGTTCCGGCCCATCGACCGCAGCTTCATACGCCAACAGGTTCCTCAAGATCACCTCGGAATCGAATCTGAATGTGATTTCCGGGAGATGAATCGTGGGTTTTTCGCCCTCCAGGTGGCGGGTGAATCCGATATTCCCAATCCCTTCATCCGGTTTCAACACCCTAAAAACCACCTCGTGCATCTTGGACAGCTCTGTCGCCGAAGGAATGACACGGCGGCTAATCACTCTTGTCTTTCGTTCCTGTTTCTTGTTTTTTGCGACGGCGGGGGTCCCTAAAAACGACTGCATCGAGGGTCCTCCAAGTCTTAGCTCGCTCAAAGCCCTTTCAATCCTCCGTCTCGTTGTCACTCCCATGGCCTCGGGATCTTGCAATTTTTCCTCTTCTGGTGTAATAGGACGATTACTAATAATGCTAGAATACATAAAGCTCAGGAGGTGATGTGTCCCCCACCCGTCAATGCACGCCCACTCCGACAGCTTGAGCGGAGAGTGGGCTTTGCAGAAGCAGTAAAAGAGTTGGGCATACAGCATTTTTGTAGTGGTGTCTCTTTCAGGTGAGAACAGCCCTATTTCCTTCCCGACCTCCTCAAGTGCTTTTTTGGGAATTTGGTTCTCCAACATTAAAACGTCCTTCACAACTTCTTTGTGGCCCGTATCGAACTTCCAGACGTCCATGTTCTCTTTGTAGAGACCAAGGAAATCAAACAAGAAGAAAGAATCGAGGAGGAAGATGTGCTCTAAGGTGGAGCCTTCAAGATCCAAGTACTTGTCATATTGGACTCGAACCAAAGGCTCAATATCCCTCACCCTTCTCAAGGCTTCTTGGGAGAAAAATTGAGTCTTGGGTGAGTCTCCGCCTCTAGCCTGAAACAAGCTGATCTGGGCAAGCTTTTTCTGGTGGGTGCGGTGGAGGTCGGGCCGGAGATGATGGTATGGTCCCAGGCCAAGTGTTTGTGGGGTGTAGGCGTCTGGCTTGCTTTCTTTCAAGGGTTTGGGGACTTGAAAGATCTTAGGAGTGAAATAAATAATTGCTACTTGGCTTGAAGTGTGTCCCGACTCTAAGCTCCTGGGACCTTGCCTTACCCATCTCCCTTCGTCAATGGGTGGGCTGAAAACTGCTTCCTCCATGGTTAATGAGATCACAGGTGAGTAGTTTCAATCTCTTTCTTCCTCTTCCTCTTTTCTCTTTTTGTCATTCTGGATCGTTCAGAAAGTAAATTTATACCCAATTCAGTTTCTCCTACATTATTTGAATGGATTCCAATGCTAAAAGCAATTGTAAGCATTGGGATCAAATGTTACTGCAAGGGAAAGCAATTGAATTGCTTTGTTCGCAGTCATTGGGAGAATCTGTGCTATTCTTGTTCTAGTCAATTTTACATGTTGAACAAATATTTGATTTTGAACAAAATATTCATTTGGTTTTGGTGTTGAATTTGTTGGGATTTTCTTATGTTTGATCCATGAACAAAGCCCAGAAAGTAGGCCCAAACACAAGGTTTTATTTTCCCTTGTATTTTTAATGTCTTCCAGGATTTTAGGTCACCTAGTCAGATAGTCCAGAAAAACAATTAGATAAAGAGCAGAGTGAACATATACAGTAAAATAGTTTCCCTGGGATATCCAAAGGTCCGATCTTCATTATTTTTGGGCAGTGCTTCACAGCATCTAGGATGAAAGTCTTTTTGTACACGTCTAAACGTGAATTATCTATGTCCCCGATAAATTTTATGAAAAGGATAAAATTTATGAAAAGGTTTTGTCTGTACCACGGACACTTGTCTAGGACTCTAGATATAGACATGACAAAAAGGGGCTTATAAACGGTGTGTCGAGATAATTTTTTGAAGCATGGCAGGTTGAAGTTTCGTGGTACAATATTTGGGGATAGTTGTTTCTCACCTTATATGTGGATATGTTAGCCGACCTCAATATCTTTTGGGATTAAGGTTTGGATGTTGTTGTTGTTGTACATATTGCTTGGAATATTCTGTCAGCTCCCATACTAAAATCAGTTTTCCTATAGGATCCTCAAAATTGTAGTTTCATTGAAAATTGTAGTTTCATTGAAAGGAAAGAAACGTAATAAGTAAAACATGATTTGTTTATGTTGGTCTTATTAAATTAATGTAATTTAAATCTTTATTTTCTTTCTTGACATTTTGATGGTGATATCATGTATCGATTCATGTTAGCGAACCCCAATATCTTTTGGGACTAAGGCTTGAATGTTGTTGTTATTTAATTAGAATAATACTACGTATTTGTTATAAATTGTGGATATAATCTTGAACCCGATTAACTTTGTAAACCTTAAAAATGGTCTTTGAAAGTTGAGTAGAGAATGTGTGATGACAATTTAAATGTGTGAAAGATGATGAACCCATTTGAGTATGTCTTACATTTTGTTGCAAGTTCATTTGATAATTCAAATCACTATTTTTTAATTTTAATTCAATAAACTAAAGAGCAAATTTGTTGTGAACAGTGAACATAAGGAAAACATGAGCCAAGTTTACAAATAGGACTAATAATGAATATTTTGAATACTGAAAGTATGACTTATTTAATTTTAATAAGAGAAGTAAAAAGGTTAAAATCTTTTTCTTTTTTTAGAATGAAAGAGTCTGATGGTTTATGAATAATAATAATGTTGATACATCATCATGGATGATAAGCCAATATTTCTGTCACATGTACTTGAGTTTGGTCAACTTTAGCTTCAAGAATTTGGAATTGCGTACCCTAGATATTATGAAATAAAACTACAACTTGCCTTTAAACATTGCAGTTTTGCCAATTGTTTGAGTTGAATTTCTTTTATTAGTTCAAGGTATTTACCTGCATTTCTTTACTGTGATGCTTAAATAGAATACGTTCTTATGGGAGAGAACACAAATAATACGTGAGGCATGTATTTTTTTCATTTCCAATGTGTTATTCTTTCTTTATTTCAGCCTTCTGTAGAATATTTTCAATGTGTTACAACTTATTACTGCTGGTGCTGTTGGAGGCATTTGGATGGGCTTTTTAAAGACACGGGAAAAAGAACAATATGCACATCTCATGGCTTTGAATCTCATTAGGGTCATCCTGATAACACTTAAGGAGAGGGAGACCAATTGGAAGAGATCCAATTGGTCATTAAACTCTAAGAATCATAATTCTCTTTCTACTACCCTCTAACCTATTCAAAAGGTGTTTCTTTGCCTTTGACTATGTAATATGGTTCTATGAGATTACATACTCTTCTTTTAAGTTATCATCATCCTCTAGTGAGTACTCATGTCCTGCTATTGTGCAAGAATTACAACTTGGATTCCTTGGATATGTACGGGGGTGTCCTCAATTTCGATTTTAATGGATTTTAAAGGATTGAGATTTCAATGGATTTTTACAGAATTGTATAGAATGAGTAAGATTCTGATGAAATCATGGAATTTGAAATCCAGTTTCCAGAGTTTTTTTTGCTTCTTCGCCCTAACATATGTGACAGAGTTTTTTTTGCTTCTTCACCCTTATCCAACGAAATAGATGACAATTATCTGTAAAAGAACCCAACCAAAAATTCCTAACCAACAGGCCTGACTTCGAATTCCAAATAGAACCCCAACAAAGCACCCATGATCGGCAACCTGCATCCCACGAGAAAGACCCACTGCATCATTTCTATTCTTTTGTTATCTCCTCTTTCTGCGGTTCTGCCTCGTCATCTTTCAAGAAAAAGAAGCTTCAATTCGATGGAGCCTTTAAATAATTGTTATTGAAGTGGAGAATAGAATTGTTCTCGATCGGCCGGCTCCAGGCACTGAGACGAGAAAGCTGTCGTAGATTCAAAGACGGTGGATTTTGAAATCCGACTAGGGTTGATGATATTTTGGAGGAATTGTTTTGTGCGTGGAAACTTACAAGAATCCTTTAAAATCCATCAGAATGAATAATATCTGGAATCCATGGAAAGATCGAGGACACCCTTATTTCAAAGGAGTCCATTAAACTCCATAATGAGGACACCCAGATTTTAATGGAATTCTAAAATCCTTTAAAATCCATTAAAATCTAAATTGAGGTCACCCCGTAGTGTTGCTTTTTGTAGTTTATTTTGTCCTATCAATAAACTAACTATGTGCCCTTTCATGTAATGTCATATTATATCAACATCTTTTCAGTTATTTTTGCCAAATGGGTCTATTTTTTAGCAACCCTTTCAAATCTAGCACTTTTCGAAAAGTGCATCAAATAAGGTCTATTCGAAAGTGCATCAGATAGGGGTTATTGTGCATCAGATCGACACTTTGGACAACTGAGATTAATTCTCATTTTACACATTAAGATGTCTTCTCATTTGAACTCATCCCTATATATAATTATACATATCTATATATAGTAAATTCCATAAATATATTAATGCATGCCATTATTTAAAAAAAAAAAAGATAAGTTGAGAGTCGATAGAATACAATGTAACATACTAACATGTGAATTTAGAACGGATTTGAAGCCTTGACCTCCTTCACATTAGCCAACCAGACAAGGATGATTGAATTGGTTTATTGTCAAAATGATGCTTAGTTTTTAAAAGGTCATCTTAACCCCATGGAAACTCCTCGTTACGAATGTGCAGGATCGAGGCTGGTCACGATGGGTGACCCTTAGGAGTAGGGGTGGACTTGGGCCGGTTCGGCCCCGGTTCGGGCCTGGGCCCGGCCGGGCCTCGGTTCATGAAAGGGGAGGCCCGGAACCGGCCCAGGTAACCCCCAGGTCCGGTTCGGGCCGGGCCGGTTCGGGCCTCGGTTCTATTTTTTTTACTTTTCCTAATTAACCCCCAACCCTCCCCCCTCACCCCCAAACCACCTCAAATGGCCCAAAATACCCAGCCCAACCCAAAAACTTAAAAAAAATTCAAAAAAAAAAAGAAAAAAATAATAAATAGGCCCGAACCGGCCAGGCCGGTTCACCTTTTCAAGGGCCCAAGCCCGGCCCAGAACCCCAGCGGGTCGGGCCTACCCGGGCCGCCCGGCCCGAGTCCACCCTTACTTAGGAGAGTGGATTGTGGAGCGTAAATTGGATCCCATCATCGTCGACGCCAAATTGGTCTCTCTTTCTCTGTCAATCTCATCATCAACTGAAAGGAGCTGCTGGGAAATCTTCCACTCTTCTTTTCCTAGGTTACAGGCAGCACCGGATGGTGACTGGTGATAATACGGCCATGCCCATTCATGGAGGGATGGCCAGCAACGGGAGTGGTGCAGGATGACGATTGATGGTGCAGTAAGATTCTCCTTCTTGTTTCGTTCATCTAGGGGCACTAGTTTGCGCTTCTACTGGTGCAGAAATTCCCGGCGCCGAAAGCAGAGACGGGCATTGGAGGGGAAGGTGATGACGCGAAACCATGGAAACCAAAGCGTGGCAATAAAGAAAGTAAAAAAGAAAAGAAAAAGAGAACAAGAAAAGATGAATTGAAAGAAACAAAATAAACCGGCTACCAGAGGTCATCTTCCGGTCATTTGACTGAATTGATCGTTTTATAGGAGTAGATAAATTTATATGATTGATGTTTTAGTACATGGACTTAAGTTACCATTCAGGGATAGTAAAAGGGTCTATTTGACCTTTTTTTCTTAAGAATATTAGAGTTTAGTGAAATTTGTAAAGTGTATACATAAAAAGCCAATAATAGAAAACATTTTGTGTTCTTTCCATGTGATGTATTATGGTGTATCGGAACATATACTTCGGATTATTTAGGAGAGATTTAGAGCTAAGATAAATGAGAAGATGGATAGTGAATATGTGTATGAATATGAGTTAGGGTTACAAAGTATCCCAAGGAAACAGAGAGTCGGATGAGGGGAGGCCTTTGTTGGCTATATCCTTTGAAAATCAACGTGTTGACCGTATTGCTCCTAAGTTGACCACGTTGACCATCTAGCTCCGAGAAATGACCTGTAAAATAATCACTAAAAAGAACTAAAGATATGTTAGAAGCTCGAGACGCGTCAGACGCTGTCCTAAGGAATTATTTCCGGCGTACGGAAATTTCCCCCAGGATATAACGAGCCCTTCGGTATGAGACCGGCAGCAGAACTAACGAGAAGAAAATAATTATATGAACCCAGTAATCATTTCAACAAAATCATGATTTGAGATATACTATGTATCTCTTATGTACTTCGTATAACATAACCCATATGGAGTCCCAGACTCAGCCGAGCAACAAGCATGGAATACTTTATCAAGAAGCTTAACACCACACACCTCTTCCAATACATACGTATAGTACTGGTATATATATTATGTTCATATTAAAGCCAATTGTTATAAAACCCATGATCCATACGCTCCTCTTCCAAATATACTATTGTTAGTAAAGCCATTCACTATTAATATACTATTAAATATGGTAATGAAAGCCACAACTCATGAAACGGTTTTGATAGAAGCTCAAAGGCTCAATAATGCATATTTATTTTTATTAATAATCAATAATTAAACTTCCTTAAAGATAGTGTTCAAATATGTGTTCAAATGTAATGTTTAGCATTTCATTTTCACTATAGGCATAATTTTAATATGAAGAGATAAAAGTCGAATGTATATATAAGATGTATAAACATTTATTATTAAATTAGTGTGTGAAATCTATCTCTATACTCCCTCCGTCCCTTATAACTTTGCCAACTTTCCTTTTTTGGATGTCCCATTAACTTTGCCACTTTCCCATTTAAGTAAAGAATTTGTGGTTCCAGTTAATTCTCTCTCCTCTGCACAAACCTCAACCACACAGTTTTTACTTTATTAATCCTCGTGCCGGTCAAACTTGGCAAAGTTATTAGGGACGGAGGGAGTATAAAAAGAGGTGGAAATCAGGCCATTTTTCCCGCTCAAAAATGTCTCAATCAGGGGTAAAAAAATGTTACTGCACCGAGTTAAAAAAAGGGTGATGCTTTGTTCAAAGGATACGTGTAGAAAGGAAAATGCGTTGTGTACACGCCGGCTTACACGGCCGTGTACACAACATAAAAACCCCACCCCCCCACTTAACTATCCGTATAACCCCCACCCTCCATTTCATTTCCCCTTCCTTTCCCTCACAGCCTCCAACGAAATGCTTGTCCCATATTCCACCATTTGTCTGTAATTCCTTCTCAAAACTTTCTGTCCTCTTCCTTCCTCTTCCTTGATGACGAGCAGCATGGAAGCTATTAAGACCTATGTCGGCGACGACGAACTTGGCATGGGCTGGACATGGGAGGATCTTTTTCGGACCGAGTCCCAGTGACATGAGACGGAGGGAGCGATGAAGGGGCGAACATGAAGAGACGACGATGGCTGCGACGGAAGGAGTTGAAGACACTCCCGCTGCCACGCAAGGCGATGAAGGGGTGCCGGATGGTAAAGCTGCGGAGGCTGAGCAAGGTAGGTGTTGATTCAACTTCGTTTCTTCATGGTTGTTATGGGTGGTGTAAAGAAGCTTCACAAACAACATTTTTTAGCGTACAGACAAATTCATATTGTCTGTTTATGTAGGTAGAGAAGTAATTTGTCTGTGTGTAGACGTTTATGTTCTCTTCGTACAGACAGTTACAAATATGTTGTCATAATTATGTATTATATCGTTGTGAATTTTCTCACCTCATGGGAACACATTATGAAGTTCATAGAGTAATTTTAGAATGTGATTATAATACATACAATCGTTTTAAAATGTCATTATAATACAATTTTGTTTGTCTGTATTTCATTTAATATTGTCTGTCTTTAATACTATTTTATTCATTTGTTCTTGAAAGTGATTTGATCATTTTGATCATTCTTTGAACTTGATAAAGTACTTTGTCTGTATAGACAATTTTATAATGTATTTCCTTAATAATATTTTATTCATTTGTTCTTGTAAGTGGTTTCTTCATGCTTGTCATGTGGTGGGGTATTGAAGCTTCAGAAACAGCATTTCATAACGCACAGACAACTTACTATTGTCTGTCTGTAGATAGATAACCAATTTGTCTGCGTGGATACATTTATGTTTTCTTTGTACAGACAATTACAAGTATTTTGAGTATCTCATAAAATTAATGAGGTTTGATCATTCTTTGTGTTCATATTTTACCATGTCTGTATGTGCATAATATGTCTCCACATAATATTGTCTATATTTGAATAACATTGTCTGTATTTTAATAATATTGTCTGTATATACATATTTTTAAATAACAGATGCATGTGGACATAATAAGGAGGAAGCTGTTAATGTGATTGTTCCGGAAGCTGTTGATAGCACTGACGCGGTTTTTGAGTTTTATAAAACATATGCTAGAAGTGTTGGAATTTCCGGTTAGAAAAAGAACATCAACGAAGGACAGAAGCAAGGGTGAGCTAGTGGCAATTGTCATAGAGTGTTCACGGGCGGGAAGTAGAGGTAGCAAGACACTAAACTACAACCGGGAACTAGTGTTCTTGCGGACCCACCACAACAAATTAAAAATCCCAAGTCTTCAAAACGGAAGGGTGCTCCCAGGAAAAACCGTATGAAATTTATGTATTTTTGTTGGTGTCGTGAACAATAGTATGACAATGCTTTCAATGAAATGCACCATTTTATGTTATTTTTGTTCGTATAGCATGTAGCATTTATTTACAACAAACATTATATACAAGAATACAAACAATACAATGCTATCTCGACAATAGCAGCTACAATACAGACAATTTTGGTTAAATTGCATATGGTAAAAAAATTATAGCTTTCATTTAAAACCAAAGTACTCCGTACAATATTCGAGTTGTTCCACATACAATATCCAACTGAGAGGCTACTCCACAATCTAGACAGACAATACCCAAAAATACAAACAATACTATACTATGTCGCTAATAGCAACTACAATACAGACAATTTGGGGTGAATTGCATATGGTAAAATATTATTGCTTTCATTGATTTCCAAAGTACTCCGTACAATATTAGTGTTGTAAAATATACAATATCCAACTCAAAGGCTTCTCCACGATCTAGACAGACAATACCCAAAAATACAGACAATATTATAGCTTCGGCTCAGACAAAAACTTATTGGGAAGCACATTGTAGCTAATTGTACAACATGGCACGGCCATTGTTGTACAAAATACTACATCTAAGAATCTTTCGATGTCAAAATTTAAGGTAATCACCAATGCATGTAAAAAAGGTAACCACCAATGTATTTATAATAATTACATATACAAAAATATACACATTTGTACATCATTCTTCATCATTCTACATGCTCGGTGTGTCTTTCATCTTCCAAAGTCATTTGGCAAAGTCACAGGTGCCGGTTCCGCAACTATGACATCCTCCCAATCAAGATTTAGAAATTGTAGTCCACTAAATGGCTCACTGGGAAACTACACACGCACACAAGGCTTAAGTTAACACATGCTACAAATCACTATACGCAATGTCTGTACGCAGGCATTACAATGACAAGACCAAAAATATCTGCACACAGACTTTAAAAGTCAGCACCTATGTTACAAAACAGACTACACAGACAATTGCCTCAAAAGTAAAATGCAAAACCAAAAAAATAAAAGTAAGTGCACCTCTTTCGGGAATAACAACAATTCCTGCGGGGTACGACATTCTTCAAACAAACCATGTTCTTCGTTCATCAACATCAACTTAAAACTTGAAATAAACATTGTAAAATAATTCACAAAATGTGTCATTTCATACACAATACGACATACAATAGTATTTACTAACTCATAAAACACTTACATCATTCAACATATTTGTGATGACAATGTCTTGACTGTCCAAAATCTGTTTGGGACATCATTCATCATTCATCACTGCACAAATTTATAAAATTGTCTATACAGACAAAGTACTTTATCAAGTTCAAAGAATGATCAAAATGATCAAATCACTTTCAAGAACAAATGAATAAAATAGTATTAAAGACAGACAATATTAAATGAAATACAGACAAACAAAATTGTATTATAATGACATTTTAAAACGATTGTATGTATTATAATCACATTCTAAAATTACTCTATGAACTTCATAATGTGTTCCCATGAGGTGAGAAAATTCACAACGATATAATACATAATTATGACAACATATTTGTAACTGTCTGTACGAAGAGAACATAAACGTCTACACACAGACAAATTACTTCTCTACCTACATAAACAGACAATATGAATTTGTCTGTACGCTCAAAAATGTTGTTTGTGAAGCTTCTTTACACCACCCATAACAACCATGAAGAAACGAAGTTGAATCAACACCTACCTTGCTCAGCCTCCGCAGCTTTACCATCCGGCACCCCTTCATCTCCTTGTGTGGCAGCGGGAGTGTCTTCAACTCCTTCCATCGCAGCCATCATCGTCTCTTCATGTTCGCCCCTTCATCGCTCCCTCCGTCTCATGTCACCGGGACTCGGTCCGAAAAGATCCTCCCATGTCCAGCCAATGCCAAGTTCGTCGTCGCCGACATAGGTCTTAATAGCTTCCATGCTGCTCGTCATCAAGGAAGAGGAAGGAAGAGGACAGAAAGTTTTGAGAAGGAATTACAGACAAATGGTGGAATATGGGACAAACATTTCGTTGGAGGTTGTGAGGGAAAGGAAGGGGAAATGAAATGGAGGGTGGGGGGTTATACGGATAGTTAAGTGGGGGGGTGGGGTTTTTATGTTGTGTACACGGGCGTGTAAGCCGGCGTGTAGATAAGGTACAAAAACGGGGTGACCTGGTCAAAGTAATTAGGATTAGTAATGCATTGGAATACAAAAATCCTATGGTCATTTCACGGGTCTATCTCACCAGAAAAGTTAAGGAAACGACAATAAAGCTCTGATTTACACTCAGCTTTATAACCTCCCTTAAACTCCTCTCTCTGGGTTTTGAGAGTGTGAGATGAGATTGACATTGCCAGTGGCAAAGGAGGGGCGGTAGCAGCAGGGCAGTAGGGGTGGCTGGAGTGGGAGTTTTGGACGGTAAGCGACACCGCCGACATGATCAACAGTTCAATTGGGCCACCTGGGTGAGTAGGCGGGCTGCTGGGCTGACGCAGGCGGCTGACGACAGTACGACGCGACGCAGTTGACGGTGGACAGCAAGGGGCGGGAGACGAGGCCTGTGGTAGACTGGTGGCATCTCTGCGGCTTGAGGACTTCACAAAGAAGAAAGGCACGGTGATATTATTTTTGGACTAGCCTGAAAACTTAAATCTGCAATTAGTTGAGAGCTTAATTGAAGAAAAGTAGGGTGAGATTCTTAAAACTGTAATTATGGCAAAACTTAAGTACAAACCTGAAAATTAAGATACAGAATAATCTCACCGGGGAGATTAGTCGCAAGCCTCTCTTTATTTGAGATTTCACAATTATATACTCCATATTTTCTTTGTCTCAGGAAGAGTGTGCAGTTTTCACACAATCTCTCCTAATTCAACTAAAAAGCGTTATTAGCTAGCAATCAATATAATATTTTTGTGCACATATGCTGGGGGAGCCTCCTTATCTTCACTAAAGTAGTGATAAAAAAAGAGACTTTGGTAACTCCCTGCAAACTTTCAATTTTTTTTTAAGTTGATTGTTCTGATCTTTATCATCTACATTTTTATTATTCATTTTTAATTGATTGTTCCTCAATGACAGAGGAATAATTAAAATGTTTCAAATTTTTATAAATTTAAAATAAATAGACTTGGTAGGCAAATAACACTAATCTTGAATCCCAAGTTTCTCCATTTATTGAAAGCCATGAAAGGTAATTTGTAAACACCATCCTGTTGTACTGTTATAGTTAGAAATCCAATTCACAAACTTCATTCCACTACATAGATTTTATCATTTATCTCTTAAGTTTTAGTCTGATGATTTCATGACTTTGTTTTGGATTCCTGTGAATAGCAAGTTTTTTTACTCATTCTGATGATATATGGCATACCACTGCAAAATACAAAATATAAAAATAGTTAGTAAACTGTTAAAGATGAAAATGGAAATCAAGTAATTCACTTTCAATGCATAAATCTCAAAAGAACTTTCTGTATACTCACTTAACTGCAGGTAAGTAGTCTATTTAGAATTAAATGCTTCATTGCTTCAATATACAAGCTTCGGAATACATTTTGTTCATTTTTACTAATGTGTTCAATAACATGAGTTCCATATAAACTGACTGTAAAATCTCATTTCCCAATTCACTGGTCAATAGGTAACTCCTATAGGAAAAGTGAGAATACCCCGAAAACAATAGGATCTATTTGATACTTTTGTTGCAGCACACAGAGGAATGTCGAGTCTAATAAATTGTACATTTTCATTTTGTTCCTGTCAGTACAATGATATGGTTTTGTGGTTAACTCGGTTAACTTTTGAATATTTTTATGCATGAAATTCGTGTTATTGAAGGATTATCTTTAACATTGCTAATAATCATTGGTTTTACCCTATGCTTTCCTAAGTTTCTTGCTAGGGATCGATGCTATAAAAATTGTAATATGCTTAGAGTCACTTAGATGGAGCTGAATGTAACCAATTAAAATACGGAGTATGGAAAAGTGCAGGGTAGAAAAAGTCACTTTGACAGAGGACTTCATCTACTACATAGTGTTTAGTACTAGGCATTAGATATGAAAGACCAAGTGACCAATTAGAATAAGGGTTTTTTTTACTTTTTTCATGGATTATGATGTATGTCTTTTTTTTTTTCAATTCCCCAAGGATCAACTTAAATTTTGAAAAAAGTATCTTATGGAGAAAGCCTCAAATCCAAGAAGGAATATTGAACAAACTCAACCAAAGGGAGAGCATCATGGTAACCAGAACCAAACATGTTTATGATGTATGTGAGGTATGTCTATAAGACTATAATAAGTGATATTTGTATATGAGACTTTATTTGTGTGTTGAAGAAACAATTTGAATTGTGTAAAAAAATCAATTTAGCATTACTCTTGAATTCTAATGGCAATGAAAAACATCATTTATTAATCTAAATTTATTCCACATTCGATTTAAATTAATTAAAAGAAAAGACGTCTTATTAGACATCTTAATGGGAAGGATTACTATTTTCCAGGTTAATGATTAAATCAGTTTTTTACGGAATAATTAAGTAACGCTTTCAATTAAGTCATAATTAAACATGATTTAATGGGTTAGTGATTACATTCTCATCAAGTCCATTAGGTCAGGAAAAAACCCTTAAGGGCCCGTTTGGCAAACATTAGTTGAATCTGCTAAAATTGATGAATTTTCGGTATAATTGGCTGGATTAAGTTGAATATGTTGAATTGTGATAAATTATATGAAAAATATCTAAAATTGTATTCTCAAATAACTTCAACTGATTCAACCAGAAAATCAATTATGAACTTATTTATTTTTATTTTTATTATAACACAATTTAATTAGCATTTGAAATTCAAATTTACCTGTTTAGTAAAAAAAAAGTTGGTTGATGAATATGAATATGGCAAAGCGGGATTGGCCGGTCCACCGGGACCGGACTGGGACAAGGTCCATCCCTATGAGTATATCATTTTTAGCGAATAAAATTAAATACATATTAATCAAATCAAAGTTAAGAGCATTCACAATACAACTCTGGGGTAAGTGGGTAACAATAACCAAATCTGACAATCAGCCGAAGAACCAATGAGCCCGTGACATTTGTTTTTTACTTTATATCACAAATAATTTGTTTTCGTATCATCTTACTCCGATTACTATTGGTTTAAATTATATATCTAATCTTTCACTCATTACTTATAAAAATTGATCCTCACATTGTATATATATAATCCTTTGAAATGAAAATAATTTTGAATGTTTTGTTCCGTGCATCGCACGGGTGAAATTCTAGTATTAATTAAGAAAAGTAATATTTTATTCATTTGAAATACTCTCAATTTTTCCAACAATCCCCCACATATTTCAAATGAATAATTTTTAAGTATTTAAAAACAACAATTCCTTACTGGGTTCATATATGGGGTGAGGTTTTTCAATCTGGTGTCGCGTAGACTTGAACCAGATCTAGACGTCTAAGTCTTTAATTACCGAGTTTATTGGTGAAACGTATAGTTTCTATGAACCAATAATCTACTTTGGTAAGTCAGTGTCTTAGAGGATCATTTTTCACCCTCACCTTTCTCGTCGTTATCGCCGTTGTGCGCCTCTAGGCCGTGCGCGTGCCTGGTTTTCTTGAGTGCTCTAGAAGCGTTGTCAATGTTTCATGGAGGCGGCCCCACCTCACACTCATATAGGTGACCTCATCAAGTGTGTCATGCACTTAACACACCACCCATAAGGACTATGACAATCATTAAGAGCTTTAGCTCAACCTCACAAAGAAATGCAGTCTAGCCTTCCACACCACAGAAATGGACATTTTACGAGGCTAGCAGAACAACTAGAAGACTTGTTATTACCCATATGAACTTGCTTCATGGGATCTCCAATCACACAAGTTGGGTTCCCATCCCTATTTGTTGTCAAAGTGACATTAGTCCATTTCCCTCGATGTTTAAATTAATCATTTAACGTCCTAGGGATTCTGTCAAAGGAGTAGCTAATTCCTTTACCTTCACAAATTTAATGGACATAAATCCATCTCAAACATCATTGCACCACTTTTAAGGGTGAATGGATATCCACTATTTAAATTTATCGCACGCGAGTCGACTCAGATGTCATCGTTGTATCCCGGCAATACAACGGATAATTCTCAATAAGAAATAACATCGATGTGACCCTCTAGTACATCGGATAATTCTCAATAAAATATATATCATCATTGTATCATTATCGTACAAAGGATAATTCTCATATAACATCATTGTACCGATCTAATACAATGGACATTTCTCAATAAAACATATCATCGTTGTATCACTACATTACCACGGATAATTCCAATCAAATACATCATAATTAGTTATACCTCTCAAGTATCTCAATAACTTTTTAAGGTATTCCAACTATCCCATTTGAATTTCAAAATTGACTCAATCTTTCGACATTTCAATTATGTCGCTTCACACACATTTTGTTAATTGTAACAAACTCACACCTTTTTTTTTATTAGGCATACATACTGAGCCTTGGAATCACATTATGTATTTCTTTTTAAACATTTTAACACTAAAATGTCAAACTTCTTAAGAAGTTCGTCAAAAATAATGATAATAAAATACCCATGTCCTTCCCTATGGCTTTAATACTTAAAATTACTTTTGTTATATTAATATACCAACTCAATATTTCTACTGAAATAAGCATAAAAAATTCCAGCAACATATAGACAATCACACATGCATAATTTAGTGCTTACATGTTTTTTTTTTCTCCAAAAATTCACCACATCAACTTCAACAATAGTATAGCTCAAACAATTGCACATAGGCACATTATTTTAATTAAATCAAGAAAATTACATGCTCCTCTATTTTCAACATACAATATGAATAATCAATCTAAATTTATAGAATTCATTTATTAACACAAGGTGGCTAATAAGCCTTGCAACGAAAATACCGATGATCTACATCAAATTCATTTTTTTTAAATGCACATTTCAAATAATATAACTTTCTTCTTCTCAGAAGTATTTAATTTCTTGAGCATATACTATAATTTGAAATA